TTCAACCCAGTGATACCAATTGATAGAACTTCAAACAAATCACTCAATCACGCAACACAATAAGCAAACTCGACAGAGACAAACTGAATGATAATATTCAATGTAATGCTGGATTAACTCAAATTGATATTAATAGAATAGAAATGGCAGTTTCCAGAGCAGTGCTCAATTACAATGAAATAGAAAATGTAACAGATAGTCCCAACAATTCGAGGAGCTGGGGACCTTTTTGATTGACTAATGATAATAATCTGCCTCTCCTACTTAAGCTCTCCCTTTTATACATAAATCAGTTAACTGAATTATTCCCTTCTAATTAATTGATTCTTCACACGCCACACGCCTCAAGCCATCCTCCATTAATGCATGCATCTTCAAATCAGTTAATGGCTTTTTACCCTTATGCCCTCTATATTGGTATACCTTCTTGATGGGAGGTCTATCACTTTCCCAATTTCCAACCATATTAAGCTTACCACAATCACTTATTAACCCCTTCTAGTCTCGAAGGACCAAAGTAATTAGCTAAATCATCCTATTATATACAATAAGAAGCAGCCCCAAACCCTCAGTCTGAATCAGCAGCACAGAAAGTGTATACTAATGCAAAGCAAAATAAACTGAACTTTACTATCCAGTACATACCTGATTGAACACAGCAAAAGTCAATTAAAAAAAATTGGCCAAGATTTAGTAAAAACAACCACATATGTGGAGTCAATTCATTTCATACATCTCATCAATACATAAACCTTTACTTTTAATAACCACTCGTTTCAAATGAATCAAAACAAAACATAGAAATGAAGTTTCCATCTCTGCTCTTGAAGTTGATTGCTTCAGTTCTCTTTGAAATGAACTGGGTTAGTCAAAGGTAACTGACTGAAAGAAATTTGTTCACTTTCATTAAATTCTGACATTTGAAGATGTTTGTGTATACATTATACATAAAATATATACTAAATGTTGGAAATAATTCAATTCAATATAATTGTGTCGCATAATTTCATAAATGCCTCACATCCAGCGTTGTAAAGGGTCTACGTATGTTGCTAGAATGTGTATCTAATTAGCTTGGCTTTTTGTTTACGATGAATCCCTGGATTAATTTTGGAATCTATCCTTGGTCTCCTGGTGAAGACCACTTCCTATACCAAAAATAGTGGATCCAGCTCAGGTTGTTAGAGGATCAGGCCCAAGCATAATCCTGTAAAACAGTGAATTCTAAGCAGAAAAACAACTCAACAAAGCCCAAATCAGAAGCCCGTGTGCTTTGCCCTCTTAAATTGGTGAAGAGTAGAGAGCTGGGTAGAATGCATCAAAAGAGCAGCTCTCTGTGGCACTATCAAATAGATGCTTCAAGAATGAAGAGATATCAAATAGAGACAGATGAAATTAAGGTTAAAAAATGAGAGTACAAGTGAACCAAATGCATCTGAAAATTGAAACTGAAATCATCCACTGGTTGTTTCTCAAATGGGCCAAAGACTGAAGGAAACAAATAAGTTGGGCTAATTAATACCATAGATTTTTTCACTCAAACGAGTTCCCAACCTTGGAAATTTTGTATGCTGAACAATTAAGTCAAACGAGTTCCTACATCAAAATTTATTTTGAAGTCATCAGCACCTCAAGGACTGATGTTTCCTCATATAGTTGAGTCAATTTGACAAAGTCTACACCTTTCCTTCCGAGAAATTGCCTTCGCATTTCACTGAACATATTCAGACAATAAAATAAAGGGTAAGAACTGATTGCTTCAGTGCTTTTGAATAAGTTAGTGCAAGAGACAATTGATATCTGAGGTTGGTGACTTTTGTCTTGTTAATCGTGAATTAAAATTCAAAACTCCTTGCAGGATTGGCTATTAGTAAGAGTTAGTTTGGGGTGGAGTCCACACGGTTTTCAGATAGAACAAAATATCAAGAGTAATATGGTAATCATGTATCATATAATCTAAAGGGTTTATAAAGGGGTAACGTGTACCCAGATGATGTAATTGTTTATTTATATTACTTTAGGGTTTTGAATTAAGAAATATAAACAACAATAAGACAAAAGAAAGCGCCATAGATTTCAATGGTGGGCTTCTAATGTTATCGACCGGCATGTGAAGAAAAGAAAAGATGTTGAAAAAATATCAAAAGTGTATCATTTTGTTGGCGTAAAAGTCTTATATCAGTTAGAAGACGAGGGTATTGATCACTTAAATAGCACAAAGATGTCCTCATCACCCAAATGTGCTTTTTTAGGACAAAATCATGTGAATCCCAAAGCCCAAATGGACAATACCTATGGACACTGGAGGTTCCTGAAAAATAAAGTTTACTAGGCACATTTTCATGATAAACAGTGCTCTACTTCTATAAAGTTTACCACTTAAATTTGTCAAACCAATATTTAGATTCTGTGTTGGTTCATTCTACTAAGATCTTGTATATATATCTATATATAACACTTATATGGGAGAAGATCAACAACCCCTTAGCCAATAGATCAAAACAATAGCAATGACGTTTTTTTTTTTTTAATTAATATTCACGTAAGTTAAAATAAAACTGAAATATCAACTGGCTCTTTCTCAAATGGGAAAAAGAGGAACCAAATAATTAGGGTTTGCTAATTAATACCAACCCAAGTGAATTTGTTAAAACACAAATTTTTGCAATGTTTGCTGGGCTTTTGCGGCGGTTTTGCAGAGCCTGAAATGTTTGCTGCTGGTCTGCCTTGCACCGTGCCACGTCTGCTTTTTTTATATTTTTTTATTTTTTTGCTATGTATTGGGCTTTTGGTGGTTGGTCTTTGTGTATAGATTGTGCAGATTATTTTTTACTGTTTCGCAAGACGCCAAGACCTCTCCTGTTTTGCGGATGCTGGTATGCTTTATGTATATTCTTTATTGAGTCTAGCTCGTTGGTTCATAGGGATGGTACACCCTTGCCTCTTTTTATTTTTTATTTTTTAATGACAGGATATTCATGTTAGTTTATATATATTTTAATTAATTTTCTAAGATCCTAAAAATTTGATCAGATAATTCCTTAATGATAATCATCCTTATTAAGATTTGAATAAACTCGAACTCAAGAGTTAAAAAAAAAAAAAAATTTGTTCTTTTACGGTCAAACCACCTATTAGTGGTTTTGATGTTGTTTTTTGCTTGGTCGTTGGGCATGTGCAGGGCATTTGACTCTCTTAGAGATCTCTGTGGTGGTCACGTTCTTTTTTCTTTATAATAAACTCTTTACCCAAAACTTGTGCAAACCCAGATTTAAAAATAAAATAAAAAAGGAGATCTCTGTGGTGACTTTATCTATACTTTTTCGCACACAAATTTTTAAAATATTAATTTACAAATCAAATTTATATTCTAACAATCAGCTGAAAACAAATTCAGTCCACACATTAAGATTTTTAAGTTAGATTTTAGTTATTAGGATTGATTAAAATTTAACTTGAAAGAGACAAGTATATAAACCCTAATCATTTAATTGTGTGCGATTAGCAGGATAAATAGAAGTAAAGTTTGAGGGGTTTTAATAAATGATAATTAGAAAAGAGAATGATAATGGTATAGGGTCGGAAGAATACCAGAATCGAAAACAAAATTTAAATTTAAATAATAAAATAACATTTTAAAAATATATAAATAAAAAAGCACAATTAAATCATTATTTGAGTATTTACTCTTTCAACAAAGACCATATTCCTAATGGAGTCAATGTGAGAAGGCCAAATTAAGTTTGATGCGGAGAAATTGCGTTTGCATTTCAGGAGTCAGAAAAAAAGGTTTAAAATGTTGTCAGTATTAGGCAACGAACTGCATTAGTCTAAAATAGATTTGCTTGACTCAATATGGTAACAAAATTTTATCTGAAAAGCTGCCATTTTAACATCAATTTATAGTAATAAAGCCAATTTTTCACTTTCTTTTAATTTCTTTCATGTTTATAAGTCTGCATGGAGGTTTTATCAATGTATTGTAATTAAAATATTAATGCAGATCCTTATTTAATGATTTAAATGCTTAGTTCGAGTGGTATCTTAACATAAAACGAGGGCTAAAAGTTTCCTACATAAATACAGACTGTTTAAATTCTTTGTGAGTCACACTAAAATCATCTATGTTTTTATCTCTCAGCTTAAGCAAACCACAAGAAATAAAGACTGACCAAACAACAAGACTTACCTAAGTCTTCAAATGTTCAAACTTTGTGGCAGGTGTGGAGTCCACACGGCTTTGACGCCAACGAAATTACTGAACATTTTTAGTTCACAGGTTCAGTTTTTCACGTATTTCAAAAAAAAAAAAAAAGGAACTCCAAGCTCTTCGCATGTGGAGGAGTCAAGTAGTTAAAACATTAGTTTATTATATCTGTGAGAGAGTAGCGAATGTTACTGGAAGCTACAAGCTGTCATAATTCTTGGATGTGCGACTGCTTTACTTGATCAACGACTTAAAAGATTAAGACCAAAACTTATCATCTATGATCTATAGGAGCCTAATAAAGCCAAAAGAAACCGGCACCTTTCAATAATGCGCTTTCGTTTTCCTTTTGAATATGTGAGTAAGCTGCGGCATGTGAAGACTGAAAAGTCTCATAAGTAGCTGACAATTTTATTCTGAAGGGCTAAAATGTAATCACTAATGAATAAAGGAGCCAGAGAATTTCCATTATGGGGTCAAATGTTAAGTTCAAAAACTGAGGGGGGCCATCGGAAAGCTGAATTTATAGGGCCATTGGTAGATCACTGTTCCCCAGTCCCAAAATCAACTTAGAGATATCTCTTTACCACAATGCCAATTTGTCAAAGCTTCCTCTCAAGACCTCAGAAGCTTTTGTCTTTTCCATTCCAATCATCAGCCCTCACTCTATTATTGCTTCCGCCTCTCTACTTCCTTTCTAGTGCTTCTTCCTCTCTTCTTCCTTTGAATCTTTCAATTGCCTGTAACTCGTCACTCTCTTCTCACTCTCTTCTATATTAGAAATCTAATCTCTATGGGTAACTGCAATTCAATCCCCCAACCAGCTGAAGACACAATTCTTGCCGCTTTAACTAGTTTTATAAATTGTGTTTCTAAAAAGGTAAATTATAAACGTGAACTCAAAAAAAAAATTGTTCTCTTAGAGGATGGATTGGGAAAATTGATTGAAGTAAAGAACGATGTGCTTCAAAGAGTTGAGAATGAGGAGAAACAACCGCAAAGAAAACGGCTGAGTCAAGTGCAAGGGTGGCTGACAAGGGTGGCAGACGCGATAACAGAAGTTGATAAACTAATAAAAGACAGCCCTGATGAAGTAGAGAGGTTATGTCTTGGAGGCTTATGTTACAAGAACTACAAGTTTGCAAGCTCAAGGTTCGGGAAGAGAGTTGCTGAAAAACTGAAACTCGTGGAGAGTTTGAAGGCAGAAAGTAAAGGCTTCGGTGAGGTGGCTAATCGGAGACCGGATGATGCAGCGGATGATCGGATACCTTGTAAGCCAACAGTTGGTTTAGAATCAACGTTTCATGAAGTTTGGAGATGTTATGAAGAAGATCCGGAGAAGATTATTGGCCTATATGGCATTGGGGGAGTGGGGAAAACTGCCCTGTTAAATCAAATCCACAACAAGATCCTTGAGACGTCAGCTGATATTATTTTGATTAGGATATCGGCGACCAACAAAAATCTTGAAAACATTCAAGATGAGATTGGGAAGAAGCAAGTTTCAGATGATGAGTCATGGAAAACTAAAAGTTCCTTGGAGAAAGCTAAGGAAATCCACAAGAATTTGAAGACGAAGAAGTTCGTGTTACTGTTGGATGACTTATGGGAGTGGGTTGATTTGACCGAAGCAGGTGTCCCTCTTTCAGATTCAAATGCTGTATCGAAGGTGTTCTTCACAACGCGCCTTCTGATGAATGTTTGTGGCCGTATGAAACCTCACATGATTCCTGTGGAATGCTTGGGACATGAAAATGCCTTAAAGTTATTTCTAAGTACTGTTGGAGATTGGGCTCTTGGCAGTCATCCAGAAATTCCTTCGCTTGCTGAAACCATGGCAAAAGAGTGTGGTGGTTTGCCACTGGGACTTATCAAAGTTGCTGAAGCCATGACTCACAAGAAGACACCTCAAGAATGGGATTATGCTATCAATGAGTTTCAGAGAATGGGGCATGAATATTCAGGCATGCAGGAAGTGTACCGGGTGCTAAGGTCAAGTTATGATCACTTGCCTAAAGACCCGATAATTCAGTCTTGTTTCTTATATTGTAGTTTATTTTCAAAAAATCATATAATCTCTAAGAGGGATTTGATAGATTGTTGGATTGGTCGGAGATTTTTGGACGACAAACATGTAGCGCAAAACAAAGGATACCACATAATTGGTATTCTTCTCCATGCAGGGTTGTTGGAAGAAGAAGATGATGACCGAGTGAAAATAAATGGTATTACTCGTGATTTGGCTTTGTGGCTAATAATAAATGACAAAGGGAAGGAAAATGTTTTTGTTAATACTGGTGCTGGATTAACTGAAGCACCTGAGGCTGGAGAATGGGGAGGGCTTACAGGGGTGTCAATGATGGAAAATCAAGTTGAGATTTTACCAGAGAGACCTTCAGCCCATTGTCTTGAAACTTTGTTTCTTAATGATAACAATCTAAAAGTTATCAATGGTGGCTTCTTCAAATTTATGTCTTGTCTCACAGTTCTAAATCTGTCAAACAATCCCTCCCTAACTGAACTACCGCTGGAGATTTCAAAATTGGGTTCACTGCGGCATCTTGATCTATCAGGCACTGGTGTAAAAGAATTGCGAGAAGAGTTGAAAGCCTTGTCAAATCTAAGGTATTTGAACTTGAGGAATACATCTGAACTCCAGACAATTCCGCAAAAACTGTTATCTAACTTCTCAAAGTTAGAGACATTGAGAATGTTGGAATGCGGTGCTGTGAATCAGGGTGGAGAACTTTTGATAGAGGAGCTTCTTCGTTTGGGACGATTAAATAGTTTGGACATCAGCATAAAAAGTTCTCCAGCTCTTGAAAGGCTTTTGAGCTCTCGCAGTTTGGTGAGTTGTTTGGAATCTTTATCCCTTCAAAACTTAGCCCATACAAGGGCCATCAAAGTCTTTTTAGCAGATTTGAAGAAGCTCGAAAAATTACATATTTGGGATTGTGAATATTTGGAAGAGTTGCAGATTATTTGCTTAGACGGAGAAAACGCCGAAATATGTGATTTCCGTAACCTTCGCGAAGTAAACATAATGTCTTGCTCAAACTTGAAGCACCTCACATGGCTTATTCTTGCAACAAGCCTCAGGCGTATTGTGATATCTGATTGCTCTAATGTGGAAGAACTTATCAGTGTTGGAAGACTAGGTGAATTTCCAGAGAGGGTGCAAGGTCGTATCCCATTCCAAAAACTCGAATCTATTGTATTACGAGGTCTTCCAAACTTGCAGAGAATCAATGAGACTGCCTTGCGCTTCGCCAATATGAAGGAAATTGAAGTTATCGGATGCCCTCAGCTCAAGAAGCTTCCGGTTGATTCTGAAAGCGCAAAGGAAGGAAGAATTGTTATCAAGGGAGAACAACAATGGTGGGACGAGCTTCAATGGGAGGACCCGACCATTCGCGCTACTTTTGAACCTTGTTTCAAGCAGTGGTGGTAATACGAAGAAGCCGCAGTTGAGTACAATGTCCAGTGTCACTGGCTCATTATTAGGTACAGAAATACCATTCAAGTTTCTTTATTATACTTCTATACATAGAATTTCTTTGAAGCCCTGGTTGCTTCTTGTGGTTGCTCCATAAATGTATTCTTGTGGTTGCTCCATAAATATAACATAATTTGTAAATATTCAGATGCAACTGGTTTTTACAAAATGAAATATATAGTATCATATTTTTCCATATCTTTTACAATTTAAAACATGAAATGAATACAAGAAGAAGGAACATAAACTTTGAAGCAAAAAATAAAACACAACTATGACACATATGATGAAATGAACTCGTGTGGCTCGACATTGAATGAGATTCACTCATATGCACTATCTCCTTCTTGACCTGGTGGGGCTGGAAAAGAAAAAAATTTAAAAACGAGGAGTAAGCTATAGTGCTCAATGAGTGGAGAGTAGGTTAATATGCAATAAAATATTTCAATATACAATAAAACATTCATACTCGTAAGATCTCAATTCCATTAACACATTTTATAATATAAACCATTTTCCATAACCAATGCTGAAATCTCTCACGACAAAAGCTTCATTCTGAAAACTTTTATGATAACAGATTAAGACTAAAGTTCTCTAAAAAATATCATTTCTAAAAACATTTCATATACAGATAGCACTTGTATTTATAGATTTCCATTTTAAATTCATGGTATACATATACATATCCAAACCATCTCTCAATTACATCTGAAAACTCTCATCCAACTAATATCAGGGGTAAGTCTGTCAAACTCGACAAGATCTAACATCGTGCAGATTGATCCACTAGATCCATCCTCCTAGACATAATCGGTCACCGCTCAAGCCTTTGACCCAGCGAGACCATGCATCATTCGGATCGACACAATCATATCTTGTCTAGCGGTATCTACCTCGATCGGGCCTTCGACCCACTTGGGCTTGCAAAATCAGGTCTAGCGATATCTGCCTCGCTCGAGCCTTCAACCCACTTGGGTCAAGAAAATCATGGCTAGTGATATCTACCTCGCTCGAGCCTTCGACCCACTTTGGGCCAGCAAAATCATGCCATACGCATGCATAGAATCAAATCAATATCATGAGGGGATGGGTACTATATATGGTGGTTTGAAAACTACTATCATCAATATACATACCTTTAACTCACCATTTTATATAAATCTCATGCCTTCATTCATCAATAAAACATACAACATAACATTAAATTCTCACATGCAGTATAAGGCTAAAATGCAAGTTTTCAACATGATTACATAATGACACTTTAGCCCAATTTTTATATTATCAACAACAATTTTCACAAAAAAAAAGAAAAAAAAAAAAAACTTTCAAATACTCATCCAGAAGTATACAACAACATATCTGAAATTCATCTTCAAACAAAAACCAAAACATACAAACAATTTTCGAAATTCCAACGGGCCAGATTTTTATACAGTGAACTCTTATATCAAAATCACATCTTTAACCAAATTTTGTTTAAGAAACACATATATGTTTTACCCACGTAACATTATTGTACTCAATCTTCCAATTTTAGTTACCCATCCATCCCATCTCTTGGCCGAAGTTTATAACCTTCACATCATCCATATACATGTCAATACTTCACTCCAAACATAAATAATCTTAATTCAATCTCACAATCTGAAATTATAATCAATACAGGGCAGGCATGCACAATATATATAATAATCAACCCACATTTTATTATTCCAATTAAGCAATGTCAATTAAGCTTTCTCATTAATTACCGAAATTCCCAATTTAAATTTACACCCAAACTGCTGAAAATTCCCAGCCCTTTAGAACACCAAACAGCAGATTTTCTCAAGGTATTCCAACCAAGAGCATGCATGTAAATACCCAGCAACAGTTCATTCAAAAAAACATAGCTCATGCACCTCCTAATACCTAGTCCAGCCGAGTGCATGCAGTCACACAAAGTCACCACCAACATTTCTCATTTTAACTCAGCCAAATGTATTTATAAAATCGTCATCTAGCAAGGCATCATTCTCCAATCAAATTCCCAGCAACAAATCACAACCAACACTTCTCGAGGCCTTCAGCAGAAACAATATATACAAGGCATAAATTATTACATCATCATGCTTAAAACTCCAGCAACAATTTACAAATTAACATCTTCACTATCATTCAATTCATGTGAAAGCCATATATGAATATGGGTAACATTAAGCATATAACCACATTCTTTAGAGCCAGATCTAATCCAATAACATCCAAAAATCAATTCAGCTGAGACATGCAAGATGGGATTTAGCAAATATATCAATTAACTAAAAAGTCTTTGCATCAAACCTTTTAATAGAAACACATCCAATATATGAATGAACATAATCCCATACTCTCAATTTCGAACACATGCATACCAAAAATTTAATAAACGAAAGCCACTAAATTTTCATTCAAGTTCATAAACAAAATCCTTTCTATCAACCTTACACTACTAATTTCTCTTATTCCATTCAATTTCAACCATACCAGCCCATCCAATACTTGACTGGATTTTTCCCCAAACATTAACCAAATTTAACATGCAATTCCACAAAATTATAGCACTATTATTAAGTAATACATTTAAGAACTCTTATTTAACTACTGGATTATTCAGAGATGGTTATTTAGATCCAATTATATTCTATTTTAAATATGTTTTGTTGCCGAATGTGATTTCAAATTATATTATAATAATTTTTTTTAAAACTAAAATCAAAATTATAAACCAGTAAAATTCTTTTGCAAGTGTAACCTATAAATTGTTTGTGTCAAATGTTGGGGGTTAAAAGGTCATTTGAAATTTTATGTGGGCGTTTAAATAGCATTTAAGGCTGCTTTCCGCCATGCCTGAAAAGTCAATTTACTGAATAAAAAGAAGTTTTATTTAAATTAAGTTAGAATATTTTGATAGGCTACTGAGGTACAGGTTAGAAGATGCTACAAACAAAACGTCAAAAGTGCAGACCACGCGGTTTTACCAAGAAGAAATCAATTAAATAAGAATTAAAAAGGCATTCATCCCTCAAGTTTGATGTAATTATAAAAACACCAATACACCATGATATTTTTGAAATAATATGAAATAATAATTTTCTACTGTAGTGTAAAGTGTCATGAGCCTAGAGTTTCTACACAACAGAACAGCCCGTGTCGCACCCCAACATCATACTTGAGATGGGGTAAGCTTAGATGTATGTCATTCGGATCTATTGGTTTAATCCTACCATGAACTTATCAAGGAAACAGCTCTAGCTTCCGACCAATTTGTGTAAAGATGACCTAATCATTTCTTCATCGTCGACTATGAAGAAAAACAACTCTTATAATTCTCTTTCACAGAGCCTCCCTCCTAAACAGTCTCATAAAGCATTGTTGATGTCCCAAGAGAAAATAAACCCGACATCTCAATTATCACACCCCACGTGAATGCTTGGCAAAACCCTTCAACATCATACACTTCCCACACTTGCAGCTCTTGTCATGATGTTGTGGAATAAGGTCATGACCAAGATTAGTGAACCTTCTGAACATACACCATTATGAGTTTATAGATGTTTACTGAATTATCTTTTTGCAATTTATTTTAATATCTAAAACTTAATGATAGAAGGTTTTATGTTATTTTAGAAACTTGTGAGGAATTTTTGGTAATTAAGCAAACTTCAAGGGATTAAATAAATGGACTCTTTAAATAATTATTGATTGCCGTGTGTATTATTGACCCAAAAAGGAATTTTTAATTTTATGGCTTTTGATTTGTTAAGCTTATCTCCTGTAATGTTACTGGCTTTGTTAACACTGATAACGCGGTACCAAAAGACGCGTTACCAAAAAGAGGCGTTAACAGCCGTAGATTATGGGCCATGGTTCAAGAAAAATTCTGAATGACGTTATCCCTGTAATGTTACTGGCTTTGCTAACACTGAGTCGTTCACAGCCGTAGATTATGGTCCATGGACCATGGTTCAAGGGACCTCGATCTATGGATAACCAGTGAACCAGTAACGTTACCGTGGAGATAAGTTAACAATCAGTACAGTTTTTGACACTGGTAGTGGCCAAGTTAGGATTTTGATAAAGTATTGAGAATGACTACACTCACCATTTACAGATCTGCAATTTGAGACTGGTTGCTCTTGCTTACTTTGACTTATCAACTTTTTTTCTTGTTGTTCAACCCTGCCGATGGCAGAGATCGTTTTTTCTGTATTAACTAAAGTGTTGCTTAAGAGTTTGGCATCTATGAAGCCATGTGAAGATGAGTTTCATTCAGAGCTGAAGCATCTGAGGAAGCAATTGCTGACGATTCAGCCAGTGCTTAATGATGCGGAGGAGAAGCAAGTGAAGAACGTGTCTGTGAAAAAATGGTTAGATGATACTCGGAACTTGGCTTATGATGCGGAGGATTTCCTGGATGTGTTTTCCACTCCAGTTTTGGAGTGGAATTTGGCGCTGGAACAACCGAGGAACATCAAGCTTGATATGAAGTCCAAGATAGAAGAGATCACTGGCCGTTTGGAAGATATCTGTGAAGAAAAAAATGAACTTGGATTGAAAGAAATTGCTGAAGGCTCTTTAATTGGTGGTTGGCAAAGACCTCCCAGCACATCTGTGCCAACTGAAGCTGCTGTTGTCGGGAGAGATGATGATAAAGCCAAAATTCTTGACTTGTTATTGAAAGATGAACCCGGAGATGCAAACTTCTGTGTTATAGGTATATGGGGGATGGGAGGGTTGGGTAAAACCACCCTAGTTCAGAAGCTTTTCAATGATCAGTCAGTGGAAGACTTCCCCCTAAAATCATGGGTTTGTGTCTCTCATGATTTTGATGTTCTGAGAATCTCCAAAACTATTCTGGAGTCAGTCACTTGCAAATCCTGTGATCTCAAGGATTTAAACGAGGTGCAGGTCCATCTGAGAGGGGCAATTTCTGGAAGAAAATTTTTGGTGGTCTTGGATGATGTTTGGTCGACTGATTATGGGCTGTGGCAAATTCTAAAATCCGCCCTTATGGGTGGTGTACCGGGGAGTAGGATGATCGTGACCACACGCAGCAGAGAAGTTGCTTTAACGATTGGAAATGGCGAAATTTACAGTTTGAAGCTTCTCTCGGACGATGACTGTTGGCGTATTTTTGAAAATCATGTTGGTGGGAGCAGAGTTGTTTCTGGACTGCGAAATCTGGAATTAATCCGTGAAAAAGTTGTTGAGAGGTGTAGAGGACTACCGTTGGCTGCAAGAACTTTGGGTGGGCTTCTACGACACAAGCAGAGAGGGGATGAGTGGGTGAAAATATTGGATAGCAAACTTTGGGATTTGTCAGACAAAACTGATATTCTTCCTGTCTTAAAATTAAGCTATGATCATCTTCCATGTCATCTTAAGAGTTGTTTTGCTTACTTGTCAATTTTTCCCAAGAAGTATAAAATTGACAAGGAGCAATTAGTCCATTTGTGGATGGGTGATTTGCTTTGTGGCTAATAATAAATGACAAAGGGAAGGAAAATGTTTTGTTATACTGGGGCTGGATTAACTGAAGCACTGAGGCTGGAGAATGGGGGCTTACAGGGGTGTCATGATGGAAAATCAAGTTGAGATTTAACCAGAGAGACCTTCAGCCCATGTCTTGAATTTGTTTCTTAATGATAACAATCTAAAGGTTATTAATGGTGGCTTCTTCACGTTATGTCTTGTCTCACAATTCTAAGGCTTTCAATAACCGCTCTCTTACTGAACTACCTCCAAGAGTTCAATTTTGTTCATTACAGCATCTTGATCTATCGAGACTGGTATAAAAGAACTGCGAGAAGAGTTGAGGGCCTGTCAAAACTAAGGTTTTGATTTTGGAGGTACACCCGCACTCCAAACAATTTCGCAGCCATTGATACCAACTTCTTAATGTTGCGGGTATTGAGAATGTTGGAATGCGGTGCTGAGTCAAAATGGGGAATCTTTGGTAGGGGAGTGATTTGCTTGCAACGTTAAATAGTTTGGACATCAGCTTAAACGGTTCTTCTGCTTCCAAGACTTTTGACCTCCCACAGGTTGCTAAGCTGTTTGGAATCTGTATGCCTTCAAAACTTAACCCAAACAAGGTTCATCAGAGTCCTCTTAGCTGATTTGAGAATCTCAAGAAATTACATATTTTGGACTGTGAAAATTTGGAAGAGTTGAGATTATTTGTGAAGACGGATTGAAAACACCGGAGGATTTTGTGGTTTCCGTAACCTTTGTGAAGTAAAAAAAGGGCTTGCTCAAAATTGAAGGACCTCACATGGCTTTTCTTGCACAACCTAGGCGCATTGTGATATCTGATTGCCCTGAAATGGAAGAACTTATCAGCGTGGGCAGATTGGTTGATTTTCCAAAAGGGTTCGAGGTCGTATCCCATTCAAAAAACTCGAATTTCTTGCATTGCGAGGTCTTCAAAACTTGAAGAGCATCAATGAGAATGCCTTGCCATTCCTGAATTGAAGGAATTGAAGTAATTGGATGCCCGCAGCTTAGGACGCTTCCACTTGATTCTGAAAGCTCAAAGGAAGGTGGAATTGTCATCAAGGGAGAGCAACAATGGTGGGACGGGCTGCGATGGGACCCTACCATTAGCAGTACTTTTGATCCTTTTTTCAAGCCTTGGTGGTAAGGTTAATACAAACGAGCAGTCATGGATGAGGATTTTGAAGCCCCATTTTCGTCCTGTGTCACTGACTTCTTGTTAATACAGTAATACCATCAAGTTTCAGTGTTGTATTTTTGTACATAGAGGTTCTTTGAAGCCCCGGTTAGCTCTCTCATGTATCTTTTTTTTCTTTTTCTTTTTCTTTTTCTTTTTTTAACTCATTACAAGATATGAGACCACAAGAGAGCATTAGAAAAGTGGAAATAAAAATATTTGGCTCTTTATCTCTATGAGATGGTTTCGGTGTGTGCATTAACCATAACATATTCATTAATCTTATACTGGAATATTCAAAATATATATTTTTTTTTAATCCGAGGTGCTCGGGCCAGCTTATTTGCACCGTAATTAATCCTCTAAGATCTGAAGTTGACGACCAGACACTGGCAGACCCAAGATTTTTTTTTTTCCCCTAGGGGGTACTTTAAAAAATCATCAAACCTTAAGTAAAATAAATAATACAATGCAAGAACCTGAAAGGAAAGAATGCAACGTTCTACTTGAATAATCTATGAGAAGTAAAACATTGAGTAAATGTGTTGAAAATACATGCAATTTATAAAGAAACATAAGAAAATTGTTACATGGAAAAACCTCTTCAACGTGAAGAAAGTACAAAATCATGAATCTAACGATTTACTTAAATCCAATATAATAAAAAAAGTTTACAACAATCACAATCTACAAAAAATATTTCACACAAATTTCTTTTTTCTCCTCTTTTTTTTCTTTTAATTTTTTTTTTTTTATATTGGCTTCCAAAGATATAATATAAATTTTCAAGATTTTTTAACCTAACCTAAACTAAAGTCAACCAAAACTTAAATCAAGTTAACGTTGTATTGATATGAATGAATTTAAAAAAAAAAAAAAAAAGGAATTTTCTGGTATAACATAGATACTAACTCAATTTCTTTATATTTTGAGCAGCTAAACGATGACCTTTGAAATATAGGAAAGTAGTGGGTGCAGGGTAAAGATAACGTCTAGTAAATATTTAAGGTTTATTTGGAAAATGAGGAACATTCTTAAACATAAAACACAAACAACTCATAAGATACATGCTTATTTCCATCAAATTAGAATAAAAAACTTTTAAAAAACAAGCAGGATTTACCCTAAAATAAACTAAATTAAAATGAGTAATAACACATACCTAAAATTGATAAAACAAAAAATAGAGGTAAGTGTGTACTTTGAATAGTGAAACTCGACAATTTCAGTTTTCAAAAGTGTTAGAGCGAATAGACTGATTGAGAGAGTAAAGACTTTGGAGATAAAATCATAAAAAGCAGATAGAGCAATAGAGAGAATTTTAAATTTATAATAAATGAGTGTGGAATATATATATAATAGTAAATTTTTTGGGGATCTAGGTATATGTATAATAATCTTATTTTTTTAAATATGAGGATATATATATATATATATATATCAAAGGAACTGGATTCGTATCAGATAAGTTCCTAGATCTAGAAGATTTCAACCTCAGAAACTCATCATCATTTTTTTACCAACATAAGTAACAAGGCTGCGTTTGTTTCATAATCGGGAATACTACTTTTAGTATTCCCAAAAAGTTAAACAGTGAAATACCTAAAAACTCAGATTTTTAGGAATACTACTCCCAATATATTCAACTTTTTTAAACCCCTTAAATTGATAATTAATTAAATACCCCTAAATATTTTTTTTAAAATTACAAAAACACCCCAATAATCCACATTTACCAGATTCCTGCCACCACCACCGGAAAATGGTCGGAATCTGGTAGGATGGCGCACTACCGGCTGAATCTGGCCGGTAGTGCGCCGATCTAGCCTTTTCCGCCAGATCCACGGTGGATCTGGCCGGAAAAGGCCAGATCTAAGCCAAAGATCTGGCCGTTGACGGCCAGATCTTTGGCCGTAACACCCTCACGACAGCCAACAAACGGTCGTCGTTGATGTTGAGAGCAATACGGCCAGATCTGGCCTTTTCCGGCCAGATCCACCGTGGATCTGGCCGGAAAAGGCCATAGCGACGCATGACTGGCAAGATCCAACCGTTCATGGCGCCCATACGGCGACTCCGGCCACCTCCGTGGTGGTCGCCGCTGGGGGTGTTTGAGGTGGGTTAGGGGTACTTTTGTAACTTTTAATGTTTTATTATAGCGGTATTTTGTAAAAAAATAAACATAAAGGGTATTTTATTATTTATAAATTCTACATCGTAATCCTGCCCAATTCAACTTTTTTTTAACTTTTTTCAAAAAACTTCCCAAAACCCCTAAATTTGAACCAAACGGAACCAAAAACATTCAATTTCAGATAAAAGGAAAGCAAATTACAGACCCATTTACGCGGGCCTTTGGGCCAGATGAGAAAAGTCATTTACCGAGGCCAGCTGGTCCCGGACAGAAGAAACACATATCAAAAGACGCTCCAAAGAAAACGTTAAAGGTGCTCTCTATTCTATCGGTGGAGTCCACACGGCTTTACCAGTGGACATCAATTAAATAATTTAAAAAAAAAAAAAAAAGGAAATATTTACTATGATCAGTTAACCATGTTAAAGGGTAACCATAGTTGTGGTAATGGAGTGTGACTGAGTCTTTGATTTTGATAAAATGTTTCATGGAATAATAATTCTAGACTCCACGTTTATAGCACTGCAGTCGGTCTGCTTAGTTTGATCGTTCTGTTTTCTGTATATGTCTGTTTCTCATTGTTAGTTCCTTCGTTTAAAAATATGCCTGTGGGAGATTTTTTTTATCTGCCTTCCTTGAGGTGTTGTTTGACAGATTGACGACTCTGAGCCATGTGAGAGTGGAGAGTAGGAAGGTGATCAGGAATAGGAAGGTGACTTTGAATGAGAGATTGATCGGGAGTACGAAAGTATTCTTAGGGGGTTGTGGGCTTTGGATTTGTCCATGGACCTAGGACATGGGCCAGGTTTGAGAGGCTTGTGCCTGCTCAGTTTGGGTCGGTTTGTTCCTCATGTTTAGAAGAGAACTATGGCTTGGGCCTTTGCAGGACTGGGCTTGGTCCTTCTTCGCTATTTGGGCCAAGGACGATTTTTGGCCCTAACAATTCCGATGTCCAAAATCACTTCCAAGATCACCAGTGGACTCCTCATAACCTCCTGTACAAAACTCATTCATTCACTTGTCAACCTCACTCACCATTTCCAATCACCTCCAACGATCACTAACGGTATTAGTTTAAGGGTGAGAATCTGAAATAAATGCAATAAGAGGTATCAACTTGGGATTTTACTAAACCTCAAGTGGGAATATGTTGTTTACTCATTGTTGAAACATCGTTAGTGATCTACCCCATTCTTGAATGATCATCAGATTAATTTAGATTAACTATGTTACTGGAAATTAACGTAATGTTACCAAGTTTTTCAAAAGTCTTAGATGTGGGTCAGCTTGACTTGATCAAAGATCTAAATATTAAGACCAATATGAATTTATTATCATCTATTAATGGAGTTGTTCTGATTTAATGGAAAAAAAAAAATGTAAGAGAAAAGGAAGCTGACAAACTTTCAATAATGTTCTTTCAACAATTACTCAGAAGTTTTCAAAAGAAGGGCATCTTAATCCTCACAATGATCAACTTAGAAATTGGTCATTTTCACCCAAGTCTCCCTTACTCAACAAAATGTAGTTCTAAAGAGTTTTCTCTCTCCAGCAGTAGCACCACCACCGTGCGCCAACTCGTCAAATCTTCCTCTGATCAAGACCTTAGAAGCATGTCTTTTCCATCACTCTATTGCTTCTTCATCTCTATTTCCTTTCTAGGGCTTCTTCCTTCTTCTTCCTTTGAATCTCTCAGTTGCCTGTAACTCGTCACTCTCTTCTATATTAGAAACCTTTCCCACTATGGGTAGCTGCAATTCAATCCCACAACCAGCTGAAGACACAATTCTTGCCGCTTTATTTAGTTTTAAAAATTATGTTTCAAGAAAATTAAAGTATAAACGCGAACTCAAAAGAAATATTGATTCCTTAAAGGCTGAATTGAAAAGGTTGATTGAAGTAAAGAACGATTTGCTTCGAAGAGTTGACAATGAGGAGAAACAACCACAAAGGGAACGGCTGAGCCAAGTGCAAGGGTGGCTTACAAGGGTAGCAGACACGCTAACCGAAGTTGATGAACTGATAACAGACAGTTCTGAAGAAGTGGAGAGGCTGTGTCTTGGAGGCTTTTGTTACAAGAACTACAAGTACGCAAGCTTCAGCTTCGGAAAAAGAGTAGCTAAAAAGCTGGAAGTTGTGAAGAGTTTGAAGGAAGAAGGAGGAGAATTTAGAGTGGTGGCTGATCGGAGACCGGATGATCCGGTGGATGATCAAATACCTTCTGAACCAACGGTGGGTTTAGAATCAACCTTCGATGAAGTTTGGAGATGTTATGAAGAAGATCAAGTGAAGATTATTGGCCTGTATGGCAGGGGGGGAGTGGGAAAAACTGCCTTATTAAATCAGATCTACAACAAAATTCGTGAGACGTCAGCTGATATTATTTTGATCAGGATATCAGCGACCAATAAAAATCTTGAAAACATTCAAGATGAGATTGGGGAGAATCTACGTTTGTATGATGAGTCATGGAAAAACAAAAGTTCCCTGGAGAAAGCTAAGGATATCCTCAGGATTCTGAAAACGAAGAAGTTCGTATTGCTATTAGATGACATATGGGAGTGGGTTGATTTGACCGAAGCAGGTGTCCCTCTTTCAGATTCAAATGCTGTATCGAAGGTGTTCTTCACAACGCGCCTTCTGATGAATGTTTGTGGCCGTATGAAACCTCACATGATTCCTGTGGAATGCTTGGGACATGAAAATGCCTTAAAGTTATTTCTAAGTACTGTTGGAGATTGGGCTCTTGGCAGTCATCCAGAAATTCCTTCGCTTGCTGAAACCATGGCAAAAGAGTGTGGTGGTTTGCCACTGGGACTTATCAAAGTTGCTGAAGCCATGACTCACAAGAAGACACCTCAAGAATGGGATTATGCTATCAATGAGTTTCAGAGAATGGGGCATGAATATTCAGGCATGCAGGAAGTGTACCGGGTGCTAAGGTCAAGTTATGATCACTTGCCTAAAGACCCGATAATTCAGTCTTGTTTCTTATATTGTAGTTTATTTTCAAAAAATCATATAATCTCTAAGAGGGATTTGATAGATTGTTGGATTGGTCGGAGATTTTTGGACGACAAACATGTAGCGCAAAACAAAGGATACCACATAATTGGTATTCTTCTCCATGCAGGGTTGTTGGAAGAAGAAGATGATGACCGAGTGAAAATAAATGGTATTACTCGTGATTTGGCTTTGTGGCTAATAATAAATGACAAAGGGAAGGAAAATGTTTTTGTTAATACTGGTGCTGGATTAACTGAAGCACCTGAGGCTGGAGAATGGGGAGGGCTTACAGGGGTGTCAATGATGGAAAATCAAGTTGAGATTTTACCAGAGAGACCTTCAGCCCATTGTCTTGAAGATTTGTTTCTTAATGATAACAATCTAAAGGTTATTAATGGTGGCTTCTTCACGTTTATGTCTTGTCTCACAATTCTAAGGCTTTCAAATAACCGCTCTCTTACTGAACTACCTCCAGAGATTTCAATTTTGGTTTCATTACAGCATCTTGATCTATCGAGGACTGGTATAAAAGAACTGCGAGAAGAGTTGAGGGCCTTGTCAAAACTAAGGTGTTTGATTTTGGAGGATACACCCGCACTCCAAACAATTTCGCAGCCATTGATATCCAACTTCTTAATGTTGCGGGTATTGAGAATGTTGGAATGCGGTGCTCTGAGTCAAAATGGGGAATCTTTGGTAGGGGAGGTGATTTGCTTGCAACGTTTAAATAGTTTGGACATCAGCTTAAACGGTTCTTCTGCTCTCCAAAGACTTTTGACCTCCCACAGGTTGCTAAGCTGTTTGGAATCTGTATGCCTTCAAAACTTAACCCAAACAAGGTTCATCAGAGTCCTCTTAGCTGATTTGAAGAATCTCAAGAAATTACATATTTTGGACTGTGAAAATTTGGAAGAGTTGCAGATTATTTGTGAAGACGGATTAGAAAACACGGAAGGATTTTGTGGTTTCCGTAACCTTTGTGAAGTAAAAATAAGGGCTTGCTCAAAATTGAAGGACCTCACATGGCTTATTCTTGCAACAAGCCTCAGGCGCATTGTGATATCTGATTGCCCTGAAATGGAAGAACTTATCAGCGTGGGCAGATTGGTTGATTTTCCAGAAAGGGTTCGAGGTCGTATCCCATTCAAAAAACTCGAATTTCTTGCATTGCGAGGTCTTCAAAACTTGAAGAGCATCAATGAGAATGCCTTGCCATTCCTGAAGTTGAAGGAAATTGAAGTAATTGGATGCCCGCAGCTTAAGACGCTTCCACTTGATTCTGAAAGCTCAAAGGAAGGTGGAATTGTCATCAAGGGAGAGCAACAATGGTGGGACGGGCTGCGATGGGAGGACCCTACCATTAGCAGTACTTTTGATCCTTTTTTCAAGCCTTGGTGGTAAGGTTAATACAAACGAGCAGTCATGGATGAGGATTTTGAAGCCCCATTTTCGTCCTGTGTCACTGACTTCTTGTTAATACAGTAATACCAATCAAGTTTCAGTGTTGTATTTTTGTACATAGAGTTTCTTTGAAGCCCCGGTTAGCTCTCTCATGTATCTTTTTTTTCTTTTTCTTTTTCTTTTTCTTTTTTTAACTCATTACAAGATATGAGACCACAAGAAGAGCATTAGAAAAGTGGAAATAAAAAATATTTTGGCTCTTTATCTCTATGAGATGGTTTCGGTGTGTGCATTAAACCATAAACATATTCATTAATCATTATACTGGAATATTCAAAATATATATTTTTTTTTAATCCGAGGTGCTCGGGCCAGCTTATTTGCACCGTAATTAATCCTCTAAGATCTGAAGTTGACGACCAGACACTGGCAGACCCAAGATTTTTTTTTTTTCCCCTGAGGGGGTACTTTAAAAAATCATCAAACCTTAAGTAAAATAAATAATACAATAGCAAGAACCTGAAAGGAAAGAATGCAACGTTCTTACTTGAATAAATCTATGAGAAGTAAAACATTGAGTAAATGTGTTGAAAATAACATGCAATTTATAAAGAAACATAAGAAAATTGTTACATGGAAAAACCTCTTCAACGTGAAGAAAGTACAAAATCATGAAATCTAACGATTTACTTAAATCCAATATAATAAAAAAAGTTTACAACAATCACAATCTACAAAAAATATTTCACACAAATTTCTTTTTTCTCCTCTTTTTTTCTTTTAATTTTTTTTTTTTTATATTGGCTTCCAAAGATTATAATATAAATTTTCAAGATTTTAATTAACCTAACCTAAACTAAAGTCAACCAAAACTTAAATCAAGTTAACGTTGTATTGATATGAATGAATTTAAAAAAAAAAAAAAAAAAAGGAATTTTCTTGGTATAAACATAGATACTAACTCAAATTTCTTTAATAATTTTGAGCAGCTAAACGATGACCTTTGAAATATAGGAAAGTAGTGGGTGCAGGGTAAAGAATAACGTCTAGTAAAATATAGTTAAGGTTTAATTTGGAAAATGAGGAACATTCTTAAACATAAAACACAAAACAAACTCATAAGATACATGCTTATTTCCATCAAATTAGAATAAAAAAACTTTTAAAAAACAAGCAGGATTTAACCCTAAAATAAACTAAATTAAAATGAGTAATATACACATACCTAAAATTGATAAAACAAAAAATAGAGGTAATTGTGGTACTTTGAATAGTGAAAACTTCGACAATTTCAGTTTTCAAAAGTGTTAAGAGCGAATAGACTGATTGAGAGAGTAAAGACTTTGGGAGATAAAATCATAAAAAGCAGATAGAGCAATAGAGAGAATTTTAAATTTATAATATAATATGAGTGTGGAATATATATATTAATAGTAAATTTTTTGTGGATCTAGGTATATGTATAATAATTCTTATTTTTTTAAAATATGAGGATATATATATATATATATATATCAAAGGAACTGGATTCGTATCAGATAAGTTCCTAGATCTAGAAGGATTTCAACCTCAAGAACTCATCAATCATTTTTTTACCAAACATAAGTAACAAAGGCTGCGTTTGTTTCATAATCGGGAATACTACTTTTAGTATTCCCAAAAAAGTTAAACAGTGAAATACCTAAAAACTCAGATTTTTAGGAATACTACTCCCAATATTATTCAACTTTTTTAAACCCCTTAAATTTGATAATTTAATTAAATACCCCTAAATATTTTTTTTTAAAATTACAAAAACACCCCAATAATCCACATTTACCAGATTCCTGCCACCACCACCGGAAAATGGTCGGAATCTGGTAGGATGGCGCACTACCGGCTGAATCTGGCCGGTAGTGCGCCGATCTAGCCTTTTCCGGCCAGATCCACGGTGGATCTGGCCGGAAAAGGCCAGATCTAAGGCCAAAGATCTGGCCGTTGACGGCCAGATCTTTGGCCGTAACACCCGGTCACGACAGCCAACAAACGGTCGTCGTTGATGTTGAGAGCAAATACGGCCAGATCTGGCCTTTTCCGGCCAGATCCACCGTGGATCTGGCCGGAAAAGGCCATAGCGACGCATGACTGGCAAGATCCAACCGTTCATGCGCCCATACGGCGACTCCGGCCACCTCCGGTGGTGGTCGCCGGCTGGGGGTGTTTGAGGGTGGGTTAGGGGTACTTTTGTTAACTTTTAATGTTTTATTATAGCGGGTATTTTGTAAAAAAAATAAACATAAAGGGTATTTTATTAATTTATAAATTCTACATCGTAATACCTGCCCAATTCAACTTTTTTTTAACTTTTTTCAAAAAACTTTTCCCAAAACCCCTAAATTTTGAACCAAACGGAACCAAAAACATTCAATTTTCAGATAAAAAGGAAAGCAAATTACAGACCCATTTACGCGGGCCTTTGGGCCAGATGAGAAAAGTCAATTTACCGAGGCCAGCTGGTCCCGGACAGAAGAAACACATATCAAAAGACGCTCCAAAGAAAACGTTAAAAGGTGCTCTCATATTCTATCGTGGTGGAGTCCACACGGCTTTACCAGTGGACATCAAATTAAATAATTTAAAAAAAAAAAAAAAAAAGGAAATATTTACTATGATCAGTTAACCATGGTTAAAGGGATAACCATAGTTGTGGTAATGGAGTGTGACTGAGTCTTTGATTTTGATAAAAATGTTTCATGGAATAATAATTCTAGACTCACAGTTTATAGCACTGCAGTCGGTCTTGCTTAGTTTGATCGTTCTGTTTTCTGTAATAGTCTGTTTCTCATTGTTAGTTCCTTCGTTTCAGAAAATATGCCTGTGGGAGATATTTTTTTATCTGCCTTCCTTGAGGTGTTGTTTGACAGATTGACGACTCTGAAGCCATGTGAAGAGTGGATAAGTTCAGAGCTGAAGCAGTTAAAGAAGCAATTGTTGACGATTCAGGGAGTGCTTGATGATGCTGAAAAGAAGCAAGTGAAGAACGTGTATGTGAAATCATGGTTGGATGATCTCCGACACTTGGCTTACGATGCGGATGATGTATTGGATGAGTTTGCCTTTGTTTTGGAGCGCAAGTTGGTGACGGAACAACCGAGGAGAATTGTTTCTGACCATCTCTCATCTTGGACTCCAAGTGCTCTCATGTCCAAGCTCAATATGAAGTCCAAGATACAAAAAATCACTGGCCGTTTGGAAGATCTCTGTGATGAAAAAACTGATCTTGGATTGAAAGAGATTGCTGGAAGCTCTTTAACTCGTGATTGGCAAAGACCACCAAGTACATGTGTGCTAACTGAAGCTGCTGTTATTGGAAGAGATGATGATGAAGCCAAAATTCTTGACATGTTATTAACCGATGAAGCCGGTGATGCAGACGTTCGTGTTATATCCATCTGGGGAATGGGCGGCATTGGAAAGACAACTCTTGCTCAAAAACTCTACAATGAAGTGTCAACGCAGAACTTCCATCTACACTCATGGGTTTGCGTCTCCCATGATTTTGATGTTCTGAGAATCTCAAAGACAATTCTGGAGTCTGTCACCTGTAATTCCTGTGATCTCAGTGATTTAAACGCGGTGCAGCTACAACTGAGCAGAGCAATTTCTAGACGAAAATATTTGCTGGTCTTGGATGATGTCTGGTCGATTGATTATGGGCTGTGGCAAGTTCTGAAATCTCCCTTTATGGGTGGTGAACGGGGGAGTAGGATTGTATTGACCACACGTAACAAAGATGTTGCTTTAACGGTTGGAAATGGCGAAACTTACCATTTGAATCTTCTATCGTACGATGACTGTTGGGATATATTTGAGAATCATGTTGGTGGGAGCCGAGTTATCGCTGGGCTTCCGAAGTTGGAATTAATCCGTGAAAAAGTTGTTGAGAAGTGTGGGGGACTACCGTTGGCAGCAAGAACTCTGGGTGGGCTTCTACGCCACAAGCGGAGAGGAGATGAGTGGGTGAAATTATTGGATAGCAAACTTTGGGATTTATCAGAGAAAACTGATATTCTCACTGTGTTAAAATTAAGCTATCTTCATCTTCCGTCTCATCTTAAGAGATGTTTTGCGTACTGTTCAATTTTTCCCAAGAATTATAAAATTTACAAGGAGCAATTAGTCTATTTGTGGATGGCGCAAGGTTATATTCACCCCTCAAAAAATAAGCAGCTGGAAGACGTTGGCAGTGAATATTTTGATGATCTATTGTCAAGATCGTTCTTTCAGCATTCCAAAGGTGATCATTCTGTGGTATTCATGCACGACCTTATCCATGATCTGGCTGAATGGGCTGCTGGAGATACTACTTTTATGTTGGAGGATGAATCAGAGGCCTATATGCAGTCAGAAGAATGTGAGAAGGTTCGTCATTTTTCTTGCATCACTGGTTCTTATGATAGTAAAAGTAAATTTCAGGTCCTAGATGAAGTTAATCGCCTAAGGACATTTTTACCATTGCCACTAGATGGTCACAGTCGATACATATCTGATAGGGTAATTTCTGATTTGTTGCCCAAGTTACAAAATTTAAGGGCCCTATCTTTATCAAAATATTACATCACTGAAATACCCCATTCTATAGGAGAATTGAGGCTTCTAAGGTATCTTGATGTTTCTGACACTCAAATTAGATGTTTACCAGAGTCATTGGGCTTAGTATACCACTTGGAAACATTGCTTCTAAATGCTTGTTCTCGTCTCAAGAAACTGCCTTTGGAGATAGGAACGTTGATCAATCTTCGTCGTCTCGATATTACAAATGTATATTTAATAACAGAAATGCCTGTTGGAATGAAAAATCTGAAACAACTTCGGACATTGTCTGATTTTGTTGTGGGTAAACAAACTGGAGCTAGTTTGAAAGAATTGAAGAATTTAAAGTTCCTTTGTGGAAGACTTTGTATTTCAGGATTAGAAAATGTGATTAATTCTCATGATGCAAGAGAGGCCTTGTTAAGTGAGAAGAAAGATTTAGAAGTATTGTCGCTACAATGGAGTTTGCAATTTGATGACTCAAGAAATAATCTACTGGAAAAGGATATACTCGCCATGCTACAGCCTCATAGAAATCTAAAAGAGCTCACTATTAAAGGCTACGGTGGCAAAGAACTTCCTTCTTGGTTAGGAGATCCATCATTCTCTAATATGGTGACCCTAAAATTGGAAAGCTGTAGAAACTGTACATCCTTGCCTTCTTTGGGGCTCTTAGGGTCACTTAAAGACTTAACCATCAAGGGGATGACAGGACTTAAAAGGATAGGTCTAGAGATCTATGGGGAAAGTTGTTCAAAGCCTTTTCAAAGTTTGGAGACTCTTTCTTTAGTGGATTTGGATGAATGGGAGCTTTGGGATTCTATCGTAGAAAATAAGCATGTTGAAATATTTCCTTGCCTACGTGAGCTGTCTATTGTAAGATGCCCCAAGTTCTCTGGAAGATTACCTGACAGATTTCCTTGCCTTCTTGAGCTTTCCATTTTAAGATGCCCCAAACTGTCTGGAAGATTGCCTAGTCATCTTCCTTCATTGAAGAAGCTTGTTATTTTTCAATGTTTGCAATTGGTGGTTTCATTCTCAAGCTTCCCAATGCTCTGTAAACTAGAAATAGACGGTTGCAAAGAGATTGTGTGCAGCAGTCAAAAGATTGATTCTAAGTCACTGAAGTCTATGACTCTTGCAAATATCAGAGACGTTGGAAATTGGTTAAAACAAGAGTTTCATAATGTTGAACATCTGCAGATTGTTGATTGTGAAGAACTTTTAATGTTGTCTGGGATAAAGATATTCATCATATGAAGCAACCACAAGGGCTACACAGCCTCACCTCTGTCAAAGAACTATATATTGAAATTTCCCAAGTTTTGTTTCATTTCCAGAGGCTGCTTTCTTTCCCAATTTGAGTGTCCTTGTGATGAAAATTGTAATGCTCTATTGTCCTTGCCTGAGGAGAATACAGGGTAACAATGCAGTTCTTGAAAGATTGAGAATTGGAGGTTGCCGTTCTCTAAGATTCATTGTAAAAGACAAGCACCTTTGTCTTTAAAACGGCTTGAGATAAAAAATTGTGAAAAATTGCTGCGATTGTTGGATTATAAAGAGAATACTTGTACTTCTCATTCATCTTCTTCTTTTTCAGTGCACAGTAGCGATACATCTAGTCTTGAGTACTTGTATATCTCTGAGTGCCCATCTCTCACGAGCATATCATCCATAGGCCAACAACTTGTGGCACTTAAACACCTTGAGCTTTGGAGTTGCCCAAACTCACAACCTATCAACCAGGCGACGTTACCGGATACACTTCAACACCTCAACATTGTTGATGTTGCAAAGCTGGAGATGATAGCTGACAGATTTCGCAATAACACTTCTCTCGGATATATTAAGCTCTGTAAATGTAACAATCTTAAATTCATACCTGAGGGCCTCCACAATCTTAGCAGTCTTCGTGATTTTTACATATGGGATTGCCCGAATCTTGTTTCCTTTCCAGAAGAAGGCCTTCCCAAGACCAGCTTAAGAGTTTTTTCAATTGAGAGATGTAAGAAACTTAAAGCTCTGCCGAACCACATGCACAACCTCAAATTTCTCCAAGAATTACAATACGGCAGTGTCCAGATATTGCATCCATTCCAGAAGAAGGTTTTCCCACTAACCTGAAATCACTTTTGATTGCAGATCTTAATATTTATAAGCCACTATTTGATGGGGTTTGCAAGACTTACATCTCTGAGAAACCTTGAGATCAGAGGATGCCCATGTGGTGTCTTTTCCACAAGATGATAACGCAATGATGTTGCCCACCTCTCTATCTCGGATAACCCTTGCAAGGTTCCAGAGATTGAAATTCCTATCTGTTGACGGTTTTAAAAACCTCTCAGCTCTTGATATTTGTCATCAGCGATTGTCCAAATCTCACATCCTTTCCAGAGGCAGGCTTACCATCGTCGCTTCTACAATTATATCTATGGCTGTCCCCTGTTAAAAAAACGATGCAAAAGGACGAAGTTCAAGATTGGTCCAAAATAGCCCATATTCCTCGCATTCGAATAGATGGCAGATTCATCTCTGATCCAGATCTGGAGGAGGAAGAATGAGCTCTCCTTATCTCAGAAATGAAGAAAATAGAATAACATCAGAGAATTACTTCATTCTTTCTCTCACACTAATCCTGGTATGTCAGGTTCTTACATCTTGAAATTAGTTGCTGAATTAGTTGAAATGGAAGTCAATGAAGCCCCAGTTTCTAGACCTTTTTTTCTTTCCTCTGTTAAATGAATTTTTGTTTCAATTCTGTAATTTTTTTCCCCTGTTGGCTTTTGTAATCAGTGCCATGACTTGATGAGAACTGTCACTAACATTTTCTCATTTCAATTCTCCAGTAAATTGGCTTATCAATGCTTATTTACGAGATTGTCAAGAAGATGCTTAATGGTGTAGCAGATATTTTGAAGTAGTAATTAGTGCTTTGCATTTGTCTTTCTGTTTGGTTAGTTGAATGTAATACATTCTATCTGAAATTTGACTGTAATTTTTTAAATTATACTATTTTAATCTCAGACGAACAGTTCGTGGAGCCGTTTTATGATATGTGAGGAAATGGACCTGATAGTATGCAAGTCTTATTTGGATATCAGTATGAAAGTAATAAGTTTAATAGTTGTTTGGTATTTATATAAATTGAGGTTGATCATACCCTCTATTATGCATTTCCCTAATTAACTCTGTAGTTCATTACTTATAATGTTTTCAGTTCAATGACAATGCAGTGTAATGACAGAGCTCTCCACAGGGACAAAACCAGGATTTTATTTTGAGGAGGGCTGAAATTCTTCTTGGCATGGTCTGGTAAAAAGGAAGATTTTTTTCTTCAAATAAGTCTTAATGAATGTATTGAAGAAGTATATAAAATAAATTGGTTTTTTATTACTTTAGACCTGTTAAATTTGTATTAGTAAATAAAGATTATCATAATATTATGTCCAAGACCTTATGTTAGCCTTGATAAAAAATAACTAATCTTATCACAAAAATTTAAGAGGAAGGTATTAAAACTCAATTTTCTCTTGTAGAACTCATCCTACTCTAACCTTTTTTTTTTTTTTTTTTTTTTTTTTTAAATCAAGTGGATTCATCATTTATGTAAACTGGATTTCATCCGGCATGTGTTCATCTTCTGTTCGGGCAGCCGAGTACTTCAAGTTTGAATCGGCATGTCGCTTTATACAATTGATCAGAATGTTCTCTCTCAAAGCCTCTTATATTATCCTGCTGTGCTATGAACCTGTAATGACAATTTTGATACAATGATGTGAATTTGTGTATACAGAATCTGAGACTACTATCTGATGTATTTGCTTTCTTTCCCTCCTTCGAAACGTAGATTGGTAATTAATTTCAGTCTTTGATCATTAATATATGGAAATTTCATGATTGTTTTTAATGATTCTCTCTTTGTTTTTTTTGGTTAATATTCCGTATCTTGAATTATTTTTGATGGTTTACTCCTGTAGAATATTGACATTACTTTCGCCATTCCGTGACCATGTTACAGATTAACTATAGGTTGTAGCAGAAACACACAATACTTGAATCAGTATGACCTAGGAACAAAATTTTTGCTTTCACTTCTTCATACTTGATCCTACGCCAATTGAACCCGCTTGTAAAGATAGGATTTCAGAAGGGAACTTAGAATCCCTTTAGCGGTTTTGGGACTGGGTAACACAGAGGTTAAGACAGTTGATGTGCCGACTCAAATTTATACCAATATATTAATACTCTCTGGTTTTAGTTGCATTTTTTTTAGTGGATTCATCATTTATGCGGGAGAGTCAAGGTATTGTTGTATACAGAAAGTGAAAAATGCGAGAGGCAAGGCACATATTTTCAGCGTATAAAGGTATCCCAAGTTGGAGGAATAACCGCTTATCTTATAGAGAAATGCCATGTCTGATCCAAGGAAAGTAACTTCACTCCTGAGGAAGGGGATGGGACATATATAAGAGCAGGCATCGAATGCAAGCTGTTTTCAGGCCAAATGCCACATCAGGAATAGAAGAAGCTGATACCGAGCAAGGAAACTTACCCTGCCACATTGATCATGGAAGTAGCGGATTGGATTAAATGGCGAGGAAGAGACCAGCAAGAGGCATTCCGTTCTATACTGCTTGTGAAGGAGAATCCTTGTTCCACATCCTTCACAGACAAGAGCGGTCGAGCTGACAAAGAGAAGGGTTTGGCTGTTGTATCGAAACATGAAACTTTGATCGAGATGGAGATGCTATTGTGTCAGTTAATAGTCCACATGTACCATACGAAGGAAAGTTCTAGATTAGATTGACAGTGGGGAGGAATGCCAGGGCATATTGCAATAATTTGGTTTCACATTCTTTAATTTAACAGCTGCATTAATCTATAAATTCTAAATGACTTCAAAATTCTCTTAGCGACATAGAACTCAAACTGGATCGTTTTAACCATCGTGTTTCCGAAACTAGAATCTCTATTACGGTTTATATACCAACTTTGATGATCTCGTGGAGTAAAAATCCTTATCAAGAAGCCTAATCTGCACAAGACTGTCTTCATTTAGACGGCATTGGAACCACAGTTATAATTAGATAATTCTATTATTTTGTTCACCAAGTACAAACACCAGAAAAGGAAAAAAAAAAATAAAATTTCAACTAATCTCCTAACATATTACAGTTCTGATGAATCCCAGGATAGATTCAGCTAAGGATTCCTTCATAGCTGCAGCATCCAACTCCTGAATATGAAACACAATTTTCATTCAGTCAACTAAAGAAATATTAACAGAAAATTTCTATGTATAAAAACTTCAGAAAAAAAGTGTTTTTTGATACCTTATAAACTGAGAACTTGCATGCCATTAACTGATAAAAACTAGCTGTCCATCTTGAATACTGCTTCTTCTGTTACCATTTCGAATTCTACTCCTTGTCCCAACCTGAGGGTGGCCTTGGTGGTGGTGGATTTGAAGGTGGCCCCGGCATTTGCCATGCCTAGTGTAGGCTTTGGTTAGTGAGGGCATTTTTTGGTGCTTTTGGCTTTGATATTTGTCGATGATAGTGGTGATCGGGTAGTGGTTTCTCATTGACTGGTTTTAGCTTTTGGTGCTGATGAAGAAGCTCCAATTTTCTTATGCTTTTGGCCATGGTCTATTTTTTGGTGGTGGTGCGGCTTGGGGGCGGCTTAGTGGTGGACCTGCTGGTAGTAGTGGACTTAGTAATGGACCTGCTGGTAGTGGTGGACTTAGAGTACTTGGCTGGGTGGAGGTAGAGCACTTGTACTTGCACTTGCACTTGCTGTTGGAGCCATGGAAAGATTAGCTGTTGATGCAAAAGATTAATCCTATACAATATTTTTGGGGTTTTGCAATAGAAGATCAAAAGGTTTTGTGCTAAAGATTGGTATAACTGATATATCATGCAAGAAATTCACTCAATCAAACTGTAACCTTCTTACTTAAGTTTTCCTTTCAGCCTCTATTATTAAAGCAAGCAAACATGTCAATCAGTCTTCAAACTTTGTGGCAGGTGGTGGAGTCCACACGGTTTCAATAATGTTAAGACACGTCTCCGACCTCCTCGATTCTTCCATCATCTTAAGATTAATTCATTATATCTTTGAGTATAGCTATAAGCTAGGGACGGAGATTTTACGGTATAATACTATAATATGATAAATGATAAAAAAGTTTTAAAGTTTGGAAGAAAAAAAAATATAATGCATAAAGGCATACGCAGTTTATATGATATATTACCAATATATATTTTAAAAAATACGGCAACATCAATCTTGATTTTACATTTTTATAGACCGTTTGATTAAAATATAGATACAAAAAATCTATCGTCATGAAAATAGGGTTTGATCTCGTAAGGTTGGCCACTGACAATCTGTTAGACTGCACATATGAAAGGACAAGCGTAAAGCTTTTGAAAAACATTAGGGTGGTGTTTACCGTAGGCATTCTGACGCTCATGTCAGCGAGATTGAAGAGATTATTTGACAAGATTAAGGAGATGAAGAATTACCAAGATCTTGTCGAAAATTAGGACTACAGCAAAGGCGTCGGTTCTTGGAAGCAAGAACTTTATGAGCAAATAGATAATTTTGATTGTAGATTGATTATGGGAGATTGCCCCTCTAATAGAGGGCAAACCTCTGTTTTTATAGTGAACTCAAGGGGTTGAAATCCTAGTAGGACATTGAGTCCTCTTTTTTGGGAGATAATCCCTATCAAAGAAGAAATATCTTGACCTTATCAGATTAAGTTAATAGTTTAAATAATTTAATCTTAGTAAGACACTAAGTCCTATTTTGGGAGATAATCTCTATCATAAAGAGATAGATTTTATTTCTTAACCTTAAGCAGATTAAGTTTAATAGTTTAAATAAGATTTGAAATCTTAATAGGACACTAAGTCCTATTTTGAGAGATAATCTCTATTATGAAAGAGATATGATTTCTTGACTTTATTAGATTAAGTTTGATAGTTTGAGTAAGATTTGGAATCTTAGTAGAAGAGAAAATAAAATGAGATTCTGATTTCCTAATTATAGACTATTGCAGACTAATGAGTTGAAACCTAGTTTAGCTTAACTTATAGGATAGCTCAACTCATAGAGTG